AGACATGCGTCCCAGATCATTCTTTAAGTCGGAGCCCCTCGGGGCATCACTATACCAATCTGCACTGCTCGCCATAAATTGTGGCAATCTTATCACCATGGCAATAATTGTATCAGTCACATTTCACAGGGATGGTCTGCAGTGGAATACTACTATACACCTCCCACACATAAACTACATGTACACCTACCAACTGGAATACTTATTTGATGCGGCTGTAGGTGTGATTGACAAGCCGATAATAACCTCCATATTACTCGGCTTTGAAACATGCATTCCAGTACACTGGACAACATATTATCAGTGACATCAATGGCATATGGAAAGCATAGCAGTTGGGATACTTGTAATATGATATCTGTGATCATGTCAGAAAAGTCCACATCTTCATTTGATCTACAATGATATAAACATAATGGCGTAAACAAGCATGTTTTTTTTATAACAATGCGCCACCACACACGGTAGCTATTAAATGCCATGAGTCACTAATAAAAAAACACAAGTAGAAAAACTGTTCTGTTTTAGTTTAAGGTGCAATTGCATTCGACTAGGAGATCACTTTGCTGAACATCTGCGACATACTAGGCACTTCATTTTATTTTATTTAATAACATTAACATTATGGATGTATTCATTTCTGATGTATGTAATGGCAACGAGAATCAAATAATTTCCTTTGATGAATAGTGAATATCATAACAATATTATAATATTGAAATGGTGTCCCATAACTCTGGTGCAATCCCAGGGGTTGATAATATGCCCTTTAAAAAATACTACATTGACAAAAACTATTCCTAGTTGCCCGTTAAACATATTTCTGACATATCATAATAGTTCACTCAAACAAAATCACTATTTATATGGTTTCTTACTTATTTTTCAATGTTGTTAAAAATTCATTGGATATTAAGGTAGTGAGACAGAGTACAACGACTCCTTCAGGGTCAACCAATAACGGCACACACTGCATTGGTTCCTGAAATTAAATTACAACATAGTTCATCAAATACAGTTGTATCATCTGGTAAATTGTATTTATTGTTTAGTAAATCATTAAAATATACACTGTCAGTAAAACCAGTGTTAGTGACCACCTCTATATAAAGACCACCTGCCTACAGTGACTGCACTAAGGCAGTCCCAAGGCATAACATAGTGGCAACCTGTGTATAAAGACCACCTGTCTTATATGTGGTCACCCATTCAGCAATATCTTTGCTGATTTTGAGTATACAGCTCATGACATCAAGTAGAACAACCAACTCTATTTATAAAAATGATAATGAATGATTGGTATATCATGCAACATGTCACATTCACTTTTTATTGAGTTGATAATATTAGACATACCTGTGTAAAGACCTGTGTAACCAGCTGTAGTATAGCCATAATACCAGATGGTGACACCAGATTCCATTCTGGTTCCATCGCCACTTTGGTTTCAGGAGGACCTTCCCCTTCTTCTATGTCATGTAATGGTAGGTTAGTAGTTGGATCAGTTACACGCAGCATCTGGGCTAATCTGTAATAAGAAAAACACAAAATTGTATTACACAGAACCTAAGAAGGAGACTAAAAGTTAATGACAAATTAGTTAAGTTGTTAAGCAAATATGGGGTTTTAAACTTATTGGTTGCAAGGTGACAAAAACAACCTTGTTACTACTAGATACTTGAAGGCAAAATAAACCTGAATTTGTTTCTATGGTTGCTAGAAAGCAAAAGAAAACCTATTAAAAACGTGTTGCTATGGTTGCTATGAGGCAAAACGATCTTTATATACAATAATTACACTCAATATTATTGAAGTTTTGTGGAAATGAAATGCAATTTAATTTGGTTGCTATGGTGATTCATAGTTACTAGTGACACAACAAGGAAAGTTTTTAAAGAAATGAGCAATTATATGTCAAAATATTTATACGTTTCTTACTAATACAGTATGCTGATTGAGTGCACTTCCAAAGTTAATGTGTGGTGTGCTACGGTACAGTACGGTACGGTACAGTACTGTATAGCATGTGAATGTGTGATTATAATAATAATAGTTTATTACGCAACTATTTACTGTAGATACAGTAAGGTAAAAATAGCGTAAAATGAAATAAAAGAAATACAACTGAAAATAACTAAAAAATTTAAAAGTTCAAATAACTACAAATAAATCAAAAAATGACGAAAATACAGTAAATAATGTAATGTAACGGTTCTCCCTACCCAGGGGATTTAAATGTCACTCACTGATCAACACTAATTCCTGATCAAATGTAGCGACATGTAATGGGGTTGTTTTACTGACAGGTATAATAACAATAATATTATTATAATAATAATAGCAAACAACAGCACTATTTTATCTTCAGGTGTTAACAACTATTTCTTGGCAACCAGTCACTATGCACAAAACATAAACTAATGAATTGGCCTATACACAGTAGACCATATTTTAGTACTACAAGGTCTAAACCGAATTTCCCAGGCTCTTCAATTTCCATTTGCCTCTAATAAGACCTCTCCATGAACTGAACACTCATGAACACTAAACCAAGTATACATAAAATCACTTTAACATCAGTTTAAAAATTGCCCTGTAACACAGATCACAGAACATATAACCCAAAGTATACAGTTAATGCACAGTATATCCATGTTAAGCAGTGTCATTAAAAACACTACACAAACCACAAAGGGCCTTCTAGTTATGTGACATATGAACTTACCTATGCCATACCATACTCCAAACACTAGAATCTATCAGCATATTGGCTACTGCTGCTTCTCTAATACTTGTGAACTGACATAGTAACAACATGAGTCCGTCTAACACTCCATAGTCAAATGGACATCGTACACAAATCTGTAAAAAAAAAAAAAAAGTTTATTTCATGAACATTATAGAATAATTAACACAATTTTTGATGAAATAACACATTTTGGAAGTCATTCATCCTTAAATTTTCAAAGTTGCAATCAAGTCATTTTTCCACTGATCGAAAGAATATCAGGAAGCAAACATTTTTCTAGAAATACAAACAATGCATGATGGGGGGTCAGTGAAGAAAAACTAAAGTCACATTCTTTTTTCCTAATGACTTGCAGGTTTCAATTTAATGCCAGGTTTTAATTTTGCTATTTTCACTAATAAGTAAAATCCACTTATAATTAAATTCATGTGAACATGTACAATAACATACATGTATACTGTAAAAACTTCATTTTAGCTGAAATTAATTTTCGCTGAAATTTGGGTGTTTTGTATGGATTTTATTTTTACTGAATTCAAACGAAAATAAAGTACTTTACAGTAACTCATTGTTTTACTGGCAAATTCTTAAAACCCCCAGTGAGTAAATATCAAAATAGTGAAATTAAATGTCATTGAAAATTAATTGTTTTCACAGATACAAATTTGCATGAGGTGATTTAGACTTAATTGCATATCACAAGATATATCCTTATGAAACATACAATAGTCTCTATTTGTATTTGACTTCTTTGGTATGGGTCATACATATACCATACGTTCTATTTTAGTCACCAATGTAGAAACGCAATACCTTGTCATATGCTGAGAGAAAGGCAAGTAGTTTTCTCACAGCATGACATGTTGTTCAATGGTTAATACAGGTGTGAGTTTCTTACCTGAGCTAAGTCTGTTAATGCCGATCCTGCAGCCGTGAGAAGATCTTCAGGCGGTACTTCTACTGGTACACCATTGTACAGCAACTGACCAACTAATGATGCTGCTGCAGTCTGGAGAAATAACAGAATGATTATA